CTTCCATGTGGGCTTGTTGCTTCTCTGCTAGATGACCGCTTGTTTAACTTCAAGCCTTTAAAGCCCCAGACCCTTTATCTTTTGATAGTCAGGCGCCATCAGCTTTCTTCACCTCATTTGCTTCTGCACCCATTATGTCTTCAGCGATGGTCTCAGGAGGGGGAGCACCACAGAATGGTAGATTGTTAGAACAAAGTGTTCTTGAGTTGAGGGAGGACTTGAGCAGAGGTCCAAAGTCTGTCTACTTCCTCAATGTATTACCATATCAATATGTCAACATAGGCCAATACCTCTGTTTTTTGAATCATTTCATTGGGGGCTCTTACAACTCTTAGAACAAGCCATACATCCATGCACTATGTCAAGCACATTTGTACATTTGATGCCATCTCCATTTTCAAAACATTTTCTTTCTACTTGAGCTTTTGATATCAGTTTCTCATTTTTTCCTCCCCCACCCTCCCACCCCCATGAACCCTTGATAATTTATAAATTATTATTTTTTCATGCCTTACACTGACCAATGTCTCCCTTCACCCACTTTTCTGGTGTCTGTCCCCCTGGGAAGGGGTTATAAGTGTATCGTTGTGATCGTTTTCCCTTTCTCCCCCCACCTTCCCCTCACCCTCATTATTGGTCCTGAGGGTTTTATCAGTCCTAGATTCCCTGTGTTTCCAGATTTTATCTGTACCCGAGTACGTGCTCTGGTCTAGCCGGATTTGTAAGGTAGAATTGGGGTCACGATAGTGGGTGGGGGTGAGCATTAAAGAACTAGAGGAAAGTTGTATGTTTCATCGGTGCTACACTGCACCCTGACTGGCTCATCTCCTCCCCAAGACCCTTCTGTAAGGGATGTCCACAGATGGGCTTTGGGTCTGTACTCCACACACGCCCACATTCACAATGATATGATTTTTTGTTCTGGGTCTTTGATGCCTGATACCTGATCCTATCGACACCTCATGATCACACAGGCTGGTGTGCTTCTTTCATGTGGGCTTTGTTGCTTCTCAGCTAGATGGCCACTTATTTATCTTCAATTTTTTAAGACCTCAGTTGCTATATCTTTTGATAGCCGGACACCATCAGCTTTCTTCACTATATTTTCTTATGCACCCACCTTGTCTTCAGCAATAATGTTGGGAAGGTGAGCATCATGGAATGCAGCTTATTAGAACAAAAAGTCCTTATGTGAGGCCCAATGTCCATATGCTGCCTTAATACTAAACTTATAAATGTATGTACATAGATCTATTTCCCTATCATCATATATAAATATAT